GTCATGATCCCAAGGTCGTGGGATCAAGCCCCACATCAGGCTCTGCACTGAGTGCAGAGTCTGCTTGGTATTCCCTCTTTCTCTCCCTCTGCCCTTCTTCCCTACTCACTCTCTCTCTCTCTCTAAAATAAAAAATAAAAAAATCTCAGAAAGAATATCTTACCTAAGACAGCGTCTCTTTCACTGTGTCCTGAGTGATAAATCAGGCAAAATCAGTCTAGAACATATTGGCCGTTCTCTCCTTCAGCTGAGGTCCATACCTCCCTCCTTCAGGCCCTATCTGGGGTCTGTCTTCAAAAGCACCGTCCATATTTTTGGTCTGGCAAGGCCAGCGGTGAGGTGGCTCAGAACTTCTTTCTGGCTAAGGTCTTCATTTGTAAATCTGGGCCAACATCAGTGCCTACCTCAATTACCTACCTCACGGGTTGCGAAGGTAAAATGAATTCATACGCATAAAACACCAGGAACACTGCCTGGCGTATGGTAAGTGTCACGTAAGTGTCTGACGTGATCATCTAGACCTGAGGCAAAGACAGTGGGTTTGCCCTGCACAGCACCTTTAAACCTTCTGAATGGCCTTGGACTAGCCGGGCAGTTTCAGCTTCACCCCAGCGCTCCCCAGGCTAGCCTCGCTTACAATCCCTAACTGGCCCTGAAGGCATTGGAGTTGACCGGCTTGGTCCAGTCACATCTCCCGCACTTTAGCAAAGAAGAAATGGGGAGTCAAGGAGGGCTGGTTCAAGGTCATGGTAAGTTAATGTTGAGGTCCCTAGGGCCCTCAGTCCAGGACTCCATCTGCCCACACTTCTGAGGGTCATGTTCTGTCTGTGCCGTCTGTCCCCACTGGCTGTTGTGTGTCCACCTGCCTCCAAAGCTGAGTGGATGTGGGGAAATGACTCCTCTCCCAGCAGCTGAGGGGTTAAACTCCAGTCACCCCTTCCCACCAGCTGCTTCATTTTCCCGCCACATTATTCCCTCCAAACTGCAGTGAAACAACAGGAGGGCAGCCCTGCTGCCCTGCTGAGGCTATAAATGTGGTAATGCCTGCAGCCCCAGGGCACGAGTCTCTTGCAGCTCCTTTTCATTTCTTTCCCTCCCAGAGCCTTGCAGGGTGAGAAAGAACCCACCCTCAGCAAACCAGGGGGTAACCAGTCCCCTGGGCATCTCGTTCACCAAACCAGTTAAGAGCTCAGAGGCTGGAACCCAGGTGGGAGCTTCACGGTTTCACCTATCTTGTCAAAAGACCTCAAAAAGACCCAGCACAGGAAAGGGGAAAGCATGACAGACAAATTGGGGACTGATTTCCTGTGAAAGGATTTTTAGTAATGAAATGAACCTTACGACATAGAGATCTCCAGTGTCTTTTAGACAACGCTCTCTCTTTGTGCTTTGACAAGATGGTCCCATTGCAAAAACTGAGATCTCGAACATTTTAGGGAAGCAGCTATTGTAT